CTGCTGCAGTGGGTTGCCATGGGCTACCATATGTAGCCAGCAGCCAGCGTGAGCGGCCAGCAGCCGCAGTGAGCGGCCGTCCAGAACCCGGCGACTGATGTGCCTCCCCCAGGAAGAGCGCAATGATGGTGCCAACTTGAGCCAGTGAAGCAACGTCCTCCACAACTAGACTGAAGAACAAAACAACAGCAACTTGTCTGTTCCCCTTCCCCCAACTCCCCAATTTAAATAAATAAATAAATAAATAAATAAATAACAGTACAGTCATCCCATCAAATATTATACAGCCATGGTGTTTCTGAAGAATATCACTCATATGGAACAAAATGCACCCAGGTAATGTTAAACAAAAACAGCAAGAAACTAACCTAGATACACAGTACTAACCCAATTACATTAAAATATATATAAATATGCAATACATGGGTATACAGAAAAAGAAGGAATTACATAAAATTTTAACGACTAAATAATTACAGACTTTTATTTTTTTCTTCAAATTTCCCTGTATTTTCTAAATCCTCTATAATTTGAATTAGTTGGGATTTAAAAAGACAGTAATTCTTTAAAAAAAAACTAGTAAAAAAGTTTTTACCTATGTATTGCATAATTTAAAAGTTCAATTCTACTTACCTGTTGTCATGGTTGGACTAAATAGTCCCAGCACTGATACTCTAGAATGAGAGATCAGGTCTTTATATAATTCCCCATGTAAATATTCTTCTGCTTCTTGGACAGACGTTATGTTCACTGGACAGGAAATCCTGTTGCTAAATGAATATACAACTATATTCAAAATTAATTTTTAAAGATACTTTTCTGCTTGTAAAAAAAATAAAACATACTGAACTTAGCAAATATTTCTCAGGATAAACATCTGACAAAATAAAGGCAGAGTATTCTAAACAAACGAACAAAAAATCACACCCATTCTATCTCCCCAAAAGTGATGGAATGTGAATACTCTCCTCATCAATGCTTATCTTGTGATCTCAATTCTATTATCCTCAAAGTGTGTCAGCAACATCTATAATTAAAAGTTTTAGAGGCCTAAAAGTTTTAAAATGTTAGGGTGGCTTTCCGGCGGTGACAACCTCCCCATGAGAGCATGCCTCTCGCTAAGGATCTCCTTCATCCCTCTCCAGAAGAGAAGAGGAAACACAAGAAGAAGCGCCTGGTGCAGAGCCCCAACTCCCACTTCATGGACGTGAAATGCCCAGGATGCTATAAAATCACCACCGTCTTGAGCCATGCACAAACAGTAGTTTTGTGTGTTGGCTGCTCCACAGTCCTCTGTCAGCCCACAGGAGGAAAAGCAAGGCTTAGAGAAGGATGCTCCTTCAGAAGGAGCAGCACTAAAAGCCCCGAGTCAAGATGAGTGAGGAAGCATCCCAATAAACACATTTTGATAAAAAAAATAAAATAAAATGTTAGGGTGGAGCTGAATACTTACAGCTGGATAAATTTTAGGAGATCTTCTGTTCCTAACATGCCAGCATAAGATACTGGGTTCTCACCTTCCTTGTACATCTTTACAGCTGGAAATTCAGTGACATTTTGCTTGGTACATACATCAGACCAATCTGCACAGTTTACTCTAGCCAGCAGCATAGTGGATGTGCCTACATAGAAGAAAAATGAACATTTTATAAATATTAATGTAGAAAACTCAGTTGTTGAGAATTGCCAATATTTTTATAACCCATTCTTCTTTTAACCTCCCAGCAGCATGAAACACTGCCGCTGAACACTTCTCTTGGTTTTTGCAACATCTTCCCCACTGGCTTTTTCCCCACCTCTCTTTGCTGCTCCTTTTTCGGTCCCTTTCGCAGGCCCTTCTGCCAGTAGAGATGCGAGTTTCTCAAGGCTCAGTTTATGCTCCCTTCTCTACACTCTCGTGCTAGACAATCTCAAAACCCTTCAACAATCTAATGAATCCTAAATGTTTACCTTTGGCCCAGGCTCCTCCTGAAAGTTCCAGACCCATGTATCCGTATACTGCCTTCTCTATTTGTCTTTGAATGCAAACATCCTCAAACTCAGTATGTCTAAAACCATGGTTTCCTTCCCAAATATACTGAACACTTCCATTCAGAAAACAAAGTATCCATGCCTCCCCATTCCCAAGTCCCCCATGCCTAATTAAATTCATCAGCATATGCTTTCAATTTTACCACCCAAATTTTAAATATCTCTTTTATCTGTCAGTTTCTCTTTACTGCCACTACTTCTCCTGGATTACTACAATAGACTTCTAATTCATTTCCCTGAGTTCAGTATGACTCCACTGAAGCTAGAGATCTTTTTAAAACTCAACCTGAGGGGCTAGCTGAGTGGTTCAGTTGGTTAAGAGCTCGCTCAAGAGTGTGAGCTCTGAGCAACAGCAGTTCAAGTCCCAGTCCGAGCTAATCAGTCGCTGAGCTGCCAACAGGTGGCAGGATGGCTCAGCTAAAAAAAAAAATAATAATAATAAAACTCAATCTGTTTGTTACCAGCCCACCCTCATCAACCTTTGCAGAGTTCGATCTTTCTCATCCCTTCAGATCTCTGCATGTGTGACTACTTCAAAAAAACCTTCTTAGTACAAGCTGATCTACAATACAACAGGTTCCTATGCTCTTGCAGAGCCATGCTCCTTTCTTTATCTTATTATGTAATTATATACTTATTTATATACTTATTTATATACTGATTAATGTCTGTTTCTACCAAGAGAGCTTCTTAAGAGTAGGGACTGTGTCTGATTTACTCATCATTGATTTTCCAGCATCTACAGCAGTCCTTGCACATGAAATACCTTAAATATGTGTGTTGAATAAATGGCACACGTGAAACTCATTCAGGGCTAGGGGCAACCATCCTAAATATTATAATTTCTTTTCAGCCTAAGAAAACACATAGTGGAATCCCAAAGGGAAATTCCTACTTGTTCTATAAGAATATATGTAAAGTTCTCCAAAATATGTAAATCATTAGGTGGAAAGAGATAAAAAACCAAACAAAACAAGCGCCACACAAGTCAGCAGAGAAAGAAAGGAATAAATTCCAATAAAAGAAAACTTTAATATATTAGATCAAAGAAGGAATCTGTGTATATCAATTTAGGATATATCCTAATTTAGGAGGTAATCTAACCATATGATTTATTGTGAAATGCAACATTTTAATATTTTATCACCAAGGTTTTAATACCGAAAATTCATTTTTACATAATAAATATTCTACATTATACCACATAGATGCAATAACTTATCACTAGATTTACTGTTAGCAATCTGCTTGATAATACAGGCAGTGTATATCTGTCTTATTCACCACTATATTCCCGCTGTCTATCACAATGTTGGTTATACAGTATGTATCCAATAAAAATTGTGGAATATGCCCCGATATTTGTTCATGAACCAATTAAAAAATTTTACTCTAAAGTATATTAATACCCAAATATTGTATGAGCACATAAATGATAAATCCTTATTCCTTCTAAAATTAGATTTGCTTTGTGACTTCTCTACAAAGTCCTCTTATCTTTTATTTTAATTATTTAGTCAATAAATATCTAGTGATAGTTGTTCATACCGAGTATCGTATTATATACTACCACCCAAGTATGGAATATAGTACTACTACAAATGTAATTCTTTTCTTTCAATAAGCATCCTCTGCTAAAAGTGTTATTGTTCTTTTGTCCCAGAATTCCAAGTTGAAAACTTTGATGTTATCTTTAAAACTGAAAAAAGAATATTGATACATGTCACTAAACATTGCAAGGCCACCTATATTACAGTTACTAATTTAAAATTTTTATTTCCTATAAAATAGTTTCAATATTTAATCATGTCTCAATTGGAATAGTCTAATATTCTAAGATGCCTGTAGTATTATATCCCATATACTTTACCAAAGCAGAAATTTCAAATGGGGTTCCTAGTTCAAAGGAAAAAACCAGATTTTCTTAGTTACAGATATTATGTAAGTATAAAAACTTGACATTTGCTGCCACCTTGTGACTGAGTATAAAATATTCTTCACTGTTTTGGACTAAGATGAAAAGTGACGTTTTCCCAAGAGGTCAATGTGAAAGGTTAGAGAACTAAATGAACAAAGTATTACAATATTTTCCTAATTTACAAAGTTATAGTTTGGGCTTCAACACAGACATGAAACACTATAGTTACCTATATTATGCATTTTTACATTATGTCTGCTGAACCTCCAAAAGTGCATTTATCTGATATTTAATTACTAAGAGAATTGTTACTCATAAAGAACATATTAAATGAAAAAGGAAATCAAGACCTAGGTTGGTAATCTGCTGTTTTATTCAATAAACACATACAACTCAGAGGCCTTGCATTCAGACGTCAGGTAGTCTCTATTTGGTCATTAATAGTGAATAAAGTAAGGGAATCTTTTTTCATTTTCATTTGGTAACTAACCAAATGGGCTGAGGGGATAATTCTATTATGCAGGGACATTATCCAATCACTACTTCATTATGGCTTATATTTCACCTCCCCACCCCTCTCGCTTTTCCTTTCTTTTAATAATTTTCCAATAAGGCTGGAGAACCTAAAAGAAGAAACTTAAATCTGTCCATAAACTGCAACTACAAAGGATAACCTGAAAGAGAATAACAGGATTTGATTTTAAAAAAACAAACAAAAAAAAAGATTAGAAATCCCAGTATCTAAAGGCTTTATCACCTCTTCACTTGGATAATGAAATAATCAAAAATTGAATCAAATGTGGCTGGGAAATGAAAGTTAGAGAAATGGTTCAAAGATGCTTTTTAAAAACTCTGGCGTTTTTATTATTATAGAGCATGTTATATTTAGGAGTGACTTTCAGCAATCAATTTCTTACAGAGTTCACAAACGTCCCCAGTATATAAATAAGTTGTACACCAGTATACATTTTGCACTAAATAAAACAAAATTTATGAAATTCTCCTATATTAGGTTATTCATTTATTCAACAATTATTAAAAACCAGATATTCTGCATTCTATGGCAATACACCAAGTCCAGTGAGCTAGGTATAAGGCACACAACCTGCCCATAAAGAACTTACTAAATAATAAAAGAGCCTGTAAACTAGTGCCCCCCAAAACTAAATGGCGGATCGATACATTCCTAGAGTAGCCAAGAATAAGACTATTTAATTATAATAACTTCTATTTACAAGAAAAACAGTAGGAGGAAATCATACTACAGATATGAAGCATGATACATTCTGTCTTATTTAAATGATTACAAAACATTATCCTAATCCATCACCTCTCTCTTACTAACAGGCCTCTCTACTTCTCCCTATGTCTTTGCCAGGATAATGGCATAGACATTTTGAGTTAAAGGCCATCCCTTGGATTCTTATTTGCCTATCACTGGATCACATTTCCTAGAATAGTTAAAAGAAAATGATCCTAGCTATTAAGAAATATCCTAGTCCATACGGAGCTAACTATATAGCTTAGCTCCTGGCTATACGACTGCGTCTTGTCTGTAACATGTTTATTTATCAGTATTTGGTATTTATTTACTAATATTTAATAGTAACTAGCAAAGAGTAGGCATGCAAATATTTGCTGAATAGATGAATTTAACCAAAAAGGTTATGGATTAACTGTGTGGCCTCAAATACTCAATAACTGGGCTCTCTACGTTCTATTGAAGACAGTTCCACGAAGACAATCAAAATGAATGCTTCTGAGCATTTTTGAAACTCATGGTTCATTAACTTATCCTTGGAGACAAAAACATAATAACCTGAAATTTTATGTGGTTTTCTTAGTCTTTAGCATGACCCAGTTTTACAAACAGCTGCAGCTCAGAACCAGGAAAAGAAGCATGCATTGCACAATACCTTTCAATTTAATTGCCAAATCGATATAGGATTGCAGAAATGCCATGGATACTGCTTGCCCTACATTAAAATTAAAAATTCAACAGATATTACAACATGCTTATCTCCAAAGCATCCACGCTTATACATAACAAACATATAGATTTATGGGGTTTCCCAAAATTGTTAGTTCTTAATAAATAATTTTCTAGTATACAGTACTCAATATTGATCCAAATATTTAAGAGGGTTCCCAAAGCAACTAATTTTCTGCATTCATATTGCAAGGAATATACAATAGTTGAAGGGATATTATTTGAAGATAAAAGCATACTTCCTATAAAACAGTAAAAACTGCTAATATATTAAAATCATTAGTTTGAATTCAAAATAATTTTTCTAAACTAATAAGCTGAACATCTAATCATTAACCTTCAATTTGTAAGTCAGATATATATAATCAGTTTTACAACCTCAGAAATTACCGTATTTCCCCATGTATAAGATGCTCCCATGTATAAGACGCACCTTAATTTTGGGGCCCGAAATTTTTTAAAAAGTATTACGTAAAGTTATTGAACTCAAGTTTCATTCATCATAAAATTCATACAACTCCTCATCACTGTCAAAACTCCCAACCATTAGCTTGTCGTCATCTGTGTCTGATGACGAATCACTGTCTTCATATATTACCTCGTTCTCAGTGGGAAATGCAAGTAAAAAAATCTACGACGACTGTATAAGACGCACCCAGTTTTTAGACCCCAAATTTTTTGAAAAAGGGTGCATCTTATACATGGGGAAATATGGTAGCTAGAAGTAAATGGGACATATGAAAACTGTGTCACTCTACAACATGCAATATACAGAATGCAAAAATAAAATTTGCCTACTTTAAATGTCCTAATATGTAATATAGTCTCTAAGGCTCATACTCACAACCAGCATAGAAAAGCACTATGCTGTCAGAAGCCGTTACTGTCCCATTAAATGTCTCTTCTGTTAGTTCCACTGTGAGTTCCAAAGGTAACTGTCTCTTCTTATCTCTGTAAACAGTTTCTGCCACTTCATCATCTTCAATTCCTAAAGTGTCTGAAAAAAAATCAATATCTATATAAATGTATAAAAATATTTAAGTTCTTTTCCCAGGTAAGCATATGAAAATTTGGTATTTTATAAAAACTTTTGAATTCACACTATTTTATTAGTTAAAATGCATGATATTTAGAAAACTTTCCAGTTTCCTGGCTTCCTATCGTAAATGACTTCCTGACTCAGAAACTATGAAATTTTAAGTCCAGAAGCATTTATTTAAACATCTAGAAATAATATGCATATTTCTATTTTGTTTCTAATAAAATATTAATCTATAATCCAAAAAGGTTCTACCATACATATGTGAGTGTTTATTTAACTGCCACGATGTGTCAAGCACTGTGACAGACACTAAGGACAGCAGTAAACAAAGCAGATATAGTCCCTGACCACACGGAGCTCCTACCTACAGAAAGGTCAGACAATAACCTGATCACTGAATAATATAGAATTATAAATTGTTATCAGTTTAAGAAGGGAAAAGGATACAGTGAGAGATTATAACAGGGTTAGATTGGGAGATCCAAAGTCTTCCAGGCAGGGAATCAAGAAAAGGATGTCTTAGGCAAACAGAATAACATGTGCAAAGACTCTGAGACATTAAAGAGCTTACCATATACTAGGCAGAGAAGGAAGGCAAATTTGACTAAAACAAGATGGGTTGAAGGAATAAATGGCATGAGAAAACTCTAGGCTAACAGTGGCTGAATCATAACAGACCATATGAGCCAAGAATTTTGGATTTTATTCTAAGTGCATCAAGTTATGGTGGATTCTGAATATGTAAAGACATATCGTTAATTTAGATAGATAGACTGACCAACCAACTGATCCATCCATCTACCTATCCATCTATCCATCCATCCATCCATGTACGTGGTAAAAAAACACATTTGAATTCATAAATATTTTGCTAGAAGCTTGTACAGATTGTATGGTAACAATGAAGAGGCATCTAACTTGATGAGAGACAAAGCTTCCTAGAAGAGTTGACACTAGCTGAATATTAAAAGAAAATAAAATTTAGGTAGGAAGTGAAGGAAGGCAGTGGAGGCAACAAGAACAAAGGGAACAGAATACGCAAAGGCCCAGTGGCATGAAAGAGCATGACAACTGCAAATGCAAATACTGATGGGACAGTTGATGGTATTAAGAGATTACTGTTAATGTTTTTAGATATAATGATAGCAATAATTATGTTATTTTTAAAAGGAAAATCCTTATATCTCTGAAATACAAAGGGAAATATTAATGAATGAAATTATATGTTTGGTATTTGCTACAAAATAATAAGGGGTCGCAGTGATTGAAACACAATAGCTAAGGGTTGATGGTAGTTGGGTAGGGCCGGTAATGGCTACTAGGAGATTGTTCTATTATCCTGTCTACTTTATGGTACGTTCATAATTCTCTGTAACAACATAGTAAGAAGAAAGGAAGAGAGCTGGCCGAGTGGCACATTGGTTAGGAGTTGGCCTGGGATGCCAACTCTGAGCAGCAGGGCCCTGGTTTGGATCCCCCATGAGGGCCAGTGATGCTGCGCCCTCTACAGCTAAGATAATGAACAACAGCTTGACCTGGAGCTGGGCTGCCGTGAGTCGCCAGTGATGGTGTAGGCTGCAGTGGGGCTGGCTGGCAGTGGGCATGAGCTTTCATGAGCTGCCGTGAGCCACTGTGAGCCACTGTAAGCGGCCCATCCAATGGCCTGCGAGCGACTGTCTCACCTGGGAAGAGCGCAATGGTAACACCAACATGGGCCAGTGAAGTGGCGTCCTCCACAACTAAGACTGAGGAACAAAAGGACAGCAACTTGTCTGTTCCCCTCCCTCAATTCCCCAATAAAATCTTTAAAAAAAAAAAAAAAGAAAGAAAGAAAAGGAAGTAAGGAAAGGAGGAAGACAATACATTCAGGGCACCAAAGTATTGTTTTCCTTTTGATTTCTAATACTATAAAATTAAATACTAGATCTGAATTTCAGTACATCTCAGCAATTTTCAGTTGTGTGATGCTGGTCAATCACATTAACTCTCAGTCTCAGTATTCAAATCTGTGAAACATAAAAGTTGCACTACATTAACTTTAAGGTACTTTTAAATACCACACTCTACAACACTAAAAAGTTGTGCTTTCAATACTCAAATTAATAAAGGTCTACTTTCTTATTTACTGTATTTTTCCCATTTTCCTGCTAGTCCTTTCTTTTTTCCCAATCTATCCTTTCTTTTCTTGTTTCAACACCGCCTTCCCTCCTTTTCTATTCTCTTTCTTAATAAGCAACCCTCACTTGTAAATTTACTCACTCCTCGGGTATACCTTTGACCTATCCATCAATACATACACAATCTCTTTTAAGCCATACATGTTTAATTATTTTTTCATATTGTCCTTTTGTAGAATCAGTCCATCCTGTGCACATTTCCTCTGATGGACATTTTTCTTTGTGTTCCACTCTTAACATGGTAACAAGCTTGTTCCCAACCCTCATCTATTTTTCCTACATAAATGGGAATAAAACCGGTGGGGAGGGGGGGGATTATGTATGGACATGACATCACACAATATTATGGCCCAATGATCATTACAGACAGGAAGTTAAGACCAAAACAAAATCACAACAAAACAAAAAACAAAAAACAAAAGGCAGAGTTATAAAACAAAAGCTAGACTGGGGAGAGCAGGCAGGTAGAGAGTCAGGAGAAAAAGAAGGCAGCACACCAAGGGGCAAACTAAGGCCAGAGCATCAGGAAGCAACAGGGGACATGAACACAAGGAAATCTTGAAGCAGGCAACTCCCACTGAGGACAGAAATCTTATTAAATTGACACTGGGCGGTTCCCCTAACTCGGGAAGGTTGGAATATATGAGCCATGATAGGAATAAGCAGGGAGCAAGAGACGGGAACATGGATCTATTTATGTAATGATGATGCTATGCATAAGAACGCTGGCTTAAATAACAAGCAATTCTAACCTCTGCATACGAGAAAAGAACTAGGAATTACCTCAAACTGTGAAACTGATTACTGGTAATAGTTATAAAGCTCAGAGCCCTTATTAAATTAATAATATAGATTTTGATCATTATAATGATGGACCTCATAAAAAATATTCAAATGACGTACTTCCTTCTTGGGGTTTATAATACGAGTAGTACTATATAAAACATTCAAGTATTTACTAAATGGGATATAAGAATGAAAAGACATAATCCCTCAGAGGTATTATAAGGACTAGTGGAGAAGAGAGAAAAGTAAATGAGCAATTACAGAATAGGACTGATGCTATGAAAGAAGTATCAGGAATGATAATGATCATAAATAAGATTTTAAGTCAGAATGCTTAATTTCTAACCCAGGATCCACCACATGCCACTTGTGTGCCTTTGGGCAGATCATTTAACTCTGCTGAAACAGAGAATCTTCATCTACAAAATGAAGGTGACATCAGCTGACTCAGAAGATAACAAGCCTTGAAAGCTATGGAATACTTAAAAAATGTAAGCAATGAGAGCAATAACAAGAAAAATAAAAATAACGTGTTAAAAAGAAGCATTAAAATGTTATTGAAATTTACTCCCTATATTGTTAACAGATTTATTTACAACTACAAATACAACAATATTTGTTAGAATTTCACTTCTTAATAGGAACAGTAAGAATAAAATGTAATGGCTCCTGGGTCATTTTTAAACATGGAGAGGCCAGTAGGACTGAGAAAACTGATTTGGAAGATAAATGAAAGCTGTGGATAGCTAGAAGCCTGACATGTAACTATGAAGGGTATTACACTGCACAAAATACAGCATTCTTATATCTTCTCACCTAATTAACTTGATAAAATGTGATTTAGAATAAATTTCTTCACACTTCTTTATAATCTTGAATGTGAACACATTCTATGAAAAAGTTAATTCCTTGAAATTTCACTGACCTTATGGATTCTGGGCAGAAATGGGTGGGGGGGAAGGTGAGCATCACAAAACACATTACCCATATCTGGACCTTCTATGTCATCGTCTTCATCTTCTCGTATTTCCTCGGTGTACATGTTATTTTCCACATGGGATATCACTAAATCAATATCGTGTAACACCAAATATTCCACTGGCATTCCCTAGAAATACATTAATTTTAAAAAATATAACAAAGCATTTTTATATAAAAGTGTTTTACTTGTTTGAAACTAAAATGAAACCAATCCTTTGAATTCCAATTTTTAAAATAAATAAAAAGGAAATTAACTCCACAGTATCCAAAGCATACTTTATATAAACAGTGTACAAAATTGAAAAAAATGACAAAAGAGGAGAAACTGAAAGTCTCACTTGCCTCTTTTCATAATTACATTATACTGAAGTCTGAAACATTTCATGTATGACAATAAGTCCTACCTCAACATTAAATGAAAATATATACAATTTTATTGTAACAGAGCCAATCAAAATTATTTTGAATATTCTATAGAAATATTCAAAATAATATCCCACTCAAAAGCTCAATTGCCCATTTAGCTATAAACATAAAAATACTATCTGCCCCACAGGTATCTTAAGAACACCAAATTCTACTCCACTTGAAATTATTCCATAAAATTTCTTTCACTAATGCCCAACTACCACATTTTTTAAAATCATAAAATTTCAGACCATTAGATTACTTTAGTAAATTATCCCTGACTGAAACTATACATTAGAATAAAGCTTTAAGTGTAGTGTGTCTGTTCTTTGATATCACATATCTTCATCTTTTTAATATTATATTCAAAGCAAGCAATTTTTTACTTCTGCAGAAACATAATGAAGCTACAAGGAAGAGAAATCAAAACAAAATTGAATTTATTCCAAATATACATAGAAATTGTGGTGGTAAACTTTTTTATTAAAATATAACATTCGCACACAAAAAGAACATAAATCGTAAGTGTATAGTTTGATGAATTTTTGCGAAGTGAATACACTTATGCAACCACCACACAGATTAAGAGACAGAACATTACCAGCATACCCAGAGGCCATCCTCATCTTCTTGCCTCTCTGTCATTACCCTTCCCCAAAGGTAATCACTATTCTGACTTTCATCACCCCGTATACATTTTGCCAGTTTTGTAATTTATATAGCAGAACTACACAGTTTGTATTCTTTTTATGACTTCTTTTGCTCAACATTATTTTTGAGGCTGATACGTGTTGTTACATATAAAAGCAGTTTAGTCTTTTTCAATGCTGTATTCATTATGTGAATATACTAGTATTTATTTATTAATCTGTTCTATTGCTCATGGGTATATGTTATTTTCAGCTTGGATATACATTATATTCAGCAATAAATAATATTGCTGTGAACATTATTGTAGCTGTCTTTTGGAGCACATGCATAAATATTTCTGTTGGGTAATACTTAGGAATGAAATTGCTGGTTCGTATGATATACATAGCTTCAGCTTTAGTAAACACTGCCAAATACTTTTCCAATTTTCACTGTACCAATTTTCACTCTTACTAGCAATATATTAAAGTTCTTGTAACTCCAAATCCTTGTTAATACTTAGTACTGTTACTTTTTTAAATTTCAGCCATTCTGGTGGGTATTAGTATCTCTTCTGATTTTAACTGCATTTATACTTCCAGTTTATTTGCTAATTGAAAAGAGAGAAATGCATATTATGATACAGAGAAAATTAGCTGTTTCTACCTTAACTCAGTGATCAAAGTGGCACCGTTAAGTGGGAAAATCAGACATTAGGAACATTAGGGTAAGATGGAACATACAAAAGCCAAAATGTTTAATGGAGCTAAGCAATATTAAATCTCACTTCCAGTTTTTAGAAAATATAAGAGAACAGAGGAACAAGGCAGACAACGGCAAAAAGAAACAGACAAATCCAGAATGTGGAAAAACTTGGCCTCATTTATCCAAAAGGTCACTGTCATGGAGGAAAAGGGGAAGGAAGACCTAAAATGTTAAGAAATTTAGGAAACATACCGAATGCAATTTAGAATCCTTGACAGGATTTTGTTTCCAAAAACCAGCTATAGACAATAATTTCAGGATGAGAAAATTTGAATTTGGACTGGCTATGAGGTTAGGATAGGATATTAGGAAATTATTGATTTCATTAAATGTGATAATGAGATTGTGATTATATATAGGAGAATTGCAGTCATTTTTAGAGATTCACGCTAAATATTTATGGGTAAAATGTATCTATAACATTTTTTTAAATACTACAGAAAAAAATGGTAAGTGAAGCAAACATGACAAAAACTTGATTGTTGAATCTAGGTAGTAGGTATATAGTTGTTTATTTTTCTTTCTACTTCTCAGTATATTTTTTTATAATAAAGCATTTAGGAAAGGAATAAGAAGGGCTTTTAGAACCTAAATACTAAGAAAGGCCCTAGATATTAACACTATTCCTCATAATAATATCCTAATATACAAAGGCCCAATCCTCCGCTCAGGGCCGCTGCACTTGGGTTCTCTGCTTAGAACAGTCTTCCCCATATGGTCACATGCTCATTCCTTTGCTTTATTGTCGCTTATCAGTGAGGTCTTCTATCACTGCTCCCTAACCTTACTGTGTTTTTTTCTATTGCCCTTAGTATCATCTGACATTCTACCTATACTTGTTTTGCATCTGTCTCCTGCAACTAGTATATTAGCTCCATGAGTGCAAAACTTGGTTTTGTTCACTGCTATATCCTCAGAGCCTAAGACTGTGCCTGGAACAAATCAGGCACATAATAAACACTTATTGAATAAATAAATGAATATTAGTTAATATTTATGGAGCACTTACAATGTGGTAGGCCCTGGGCAATGTAAGCACTTTACATTATTTCTTTTACTATACTGACCAACAACACTTTAAATATTATTATCCCCAATTTACAATAGAAAACAATGGAGACATATACAAGTCAAGTAATTTGCCCAGAGTTATGAAGTAGAATTTGAACAAGGCAGTATAATTCTATAGCATAAACTCTGAACACTATATTGCTAATCACTGGCATAGAAAAAAGAAATCTAAGAAATGAATGCAAAACTAATGAAAATGTTTTAAAACTCTTACTATTGAATATGAGGTGTGATAAAAAAATACGGTGACTGTTTAAATAAAAAATAAAAAAATATTACAGTAAAAGACACAGTGCCATTGGTCCCCCTCAAAATACTCCCCCTCGCTTCTAACATACTTATCCCATCATTCTTGCCACTTTCTGAAGCAGCTCTGGAAGTCCTCTTTCATGTCTTTAGTTGCTCTCTCGTGGCTGCCTCGATGTCCTGAATCGATTCAAAATGTTTACGTTTCATAGTCATTTTGACTTTGGTGAAGAGCCAGAAATCGCACGGTACCAGATTCTGTGAATAAGGTGGATGAGGGTGCACTGTAATATTTTTGACAGAAATTGCTGTACCAGAAGTGAGGTGTCACACAGAGCCTTTCCATTGTGATCACAAAATACGGTGAATGCTGCTACCAAGTGCCATCCAACGGAAAAACAGAGGTCTTCAATACGGGAAGTGGCACGTTGAACCTTAGTAACATCGTGTGACAAATTTCAACTTGTTCGGTGCAGTCAGTTGGGTGTAAGCCATGGTTGAGAGGAGGTGTGTTTTAAAGTGTGCCATAAATCATCCACCATCATGACAACACTCCTTGTCATACATCGTTTCTGGTATATGGCAATTTCTGTCAGATAAAAACATTACGGTGTGGCCTCAGCCACCTTATTCACCAGATCTGGCACCATGCGACTTCTGGCTCTTCCCCAAAGTCAAAATGATCAGGACATCGAGGCAGCCACAATAGTGCAACTAAAGGCATAAAAGAGGACTTCCAGAACTGCTTCAGAAAGTAGCAAGAATGATGGAATAAGTGTGTTCAAAGTGAGGGGGAGTATTTTGATGGGTATTAATGGTAATGTGTCTTTTACTGTGGTACATTTTTTAAAATTTAAACATTCACCGTATTATTTGATCACACCTCGTACATTATAAGGTTTTGTGATGTGGTAATATACAATACTATCTCTGCAACCATTACTAGTACTTTAAGGGGCCCTCAAACCCTCTGCCTGGAGGGGTACAGGAAAAGAAGAGGGAAATGATCATTACATAATCCAGAATCAACATTATTGCTCTGATGAGTAAAAAAAAAGTAAGATTTGCATTGAATTCAATAAAAAGAATTATAAAAAAGCCTATTATCTCCTTAACAGAAAACATCTTTGCAGACAGCTATCTAACATATATATAACCTATCTTACCTTACACTACACAAAATTAGTTGTATTTTAACAGTTTAAGACACCAAAACTGGGAAATCAGCATTAACTTTAATTTTTCTGTAAAACTATTTCCCAATTTGAAAGATTATAACTTCTCATCTAAGGATCTTTATCTACTATCAAAAAATGGCTTCAGAAAGTACTTTTTTGATTTCCTGGCCAAAAAGCAGTGATACTAGACCCATACTATACATATTTTAAAATACTACAGTTTTCAAAGTATTTTTCTATTTATTCTTACAAAATTTCTTTTAAGTTAAAAAGTGAGGTTTTATGACTGTTCCACAAATAAGAAACTGAGCTTAATGAAGTTAATTAATTTATCTGGTCCCAGAACTAGAAGGAACAGAATTCAAGCCTTCTGACGCTGAACCCAGTATTCCTACCATAGGCTTAGGTAAGAGAATTTAAGTCTAAACTGTGTGACAGTTTGTTAACATATCAATTTTTTAGCATATGCTTATAATATTTAGAAGATATTGAGAATTAAAGTGTTCTTAATAATAAAGAAAAATTTAAGACAGATTTAAGGAAAACACGGGACATTAACAGAAATTTACGAAAGAAATATAAATGACCAATCAACCTTTTTCAAAAGTTCAACCTCACTTGTGATCAAAGACATGCAAATTAAAAACAAGAACTTTTTTGTCTAAGAAAATATTTTTTCCCAAAGATTAATGCTCAGTATTGGCAGAGATTTATGAGAAACAAGAAATTCCAAACCCTTCCAGTAAAAGTATAACCTTTCTGGAGGGCAATTTGACAATGTATTTTAGAAGCCTTAAAAATTCCCATTTCCTTTGATAAATTTCACTTCCAAAAATTTAGTCAAAAGAAAGAATCAGTGATGTTCAAAACAATATAGAAAGGCAGGCATCACAGCACAATAAGTAATTAAATATAATTTTAGGTGAAAGGTAAATATATAGTATAGTATGATCCCAATTTTCATTACAGATATGTGTTGTGTGTGTATATGTGTGTAGATATATACAATAGATATCTATTGTATATATCTATATATCTACATATCTATATCAATATGGGAAAAGAGACAGACTAACAAATGAAAAAAACACCAAAACATTAACAGTTTTATCTTTGAATAGTGGCAATTTACAGAATTTTTCTATCATAAGCATATATTACTTTAGGATCACATGTATTAACTTTCTTTAAATAAGGAGACATTGTAGACCAATACACAAAATGACTAACCTCTTCTCTTTTGAAGACCACGTTGGCCTGCTGAGGAATGTCTACCTCCAAAGAGTCCCTGTGTCAAAATGGAAATAAATGTTTTATATTGCTAATATGAAGACCAAGAGTCATCCAGGAAGTAAAATAGAACTGTAAATTCTTATACTAAAAAAGGTTTATAAAAAAATATTACAATTTAGTAAGAATTTTTACACATAAATACAGACCAGATTGTCCAGTCTTTTTTTTTTTTAATTTTTATAAGAGTTTATTTGAGCCAAACTGACTGATGACATATGCCAGGAACAAGATCTCAAATACTCTTCCAGTCTCTATCTTAATCTACATTTTCATTTAGCAAAATTTAAAAGTCTAAATTTTAATCACGTCAATAATTAATGTATAGACTTTAGCTCAGGAATTGGTTCTAACAATATTAGAATCTATCAGAGGCTGGAGTTTATTTATAAATCAGTAGATTATCACATTTAAAAATGAGAAAAACGGTAGTGTTTTGCTAACCATAGTGAATATTTCATGTTTATGATACCTTAACAAGAGTAGAACTCCCGCTTTCCCCAGAAGACGCCAAGCAACCCACTCTGCAGTTCTTCTGTCAGCTTCATATGTAGCTTGTTGACTAACAATAAACACCAGTGGCAATCCGAGTTGGAGATGAACAGTTGAAACTTGCTGAGGATCTTCAGCAACTTCGGTCTTCATTTAGAAAAAGAACAAAATGTCTTTACTGTGTTATAATAATGTCCCAACATTTGGATTTAAACCCTGCTAATCCTTATTAATGAAAAACAAGTCTGTGAAATAAATCCAACATTAACAGAACTGGTCTCATAATTTTCTAAGTTTAATGCTCCCGATGCACCTATATAGCTTAAGCATTATAAAACCAGCAAATTTTATAAGGAGTTAATCATAAAATTACAACCATAAGGGCTAAGCATAGCATAAAGGAAAAACAACAACAACACATGAAACAGTGTAGTACTAATATAGAGATTGATATTTCAAATGAAATAGAACAGGTAGCTAAGGAATACATTCTTTCATATAAGAATTATAGAACAATGAGGAACATCTGAGTTAGGACAACAGCTTGCATACAACATCTAATTTCACTCCCTCCAGAATTCCTAGGAAAACTATAGCGGTAGGATTTTTTTCAAAGAGATAAACATACATATGTGAAGAAATGAAAAGAGAAAAGGCAGCTAAATTTTGGAAGCTAGAGAACAGAATAATAACTACTTCCACAAAGCAAAACTCAAAGCCCTGAGAGGGAAAGTGAAGAAACAATTTAACTCTAGCTGCAGATCCTAAAATTGCTCAGACTATCAGTGCCTGGTATCTCTGGAACTGGGAGAGAAATGATTACGGGGTAGGGTGGGGTGGGGGAATGTCAGGAAGGCTCTAAACAAAGGAGGAATACATAAAAGCTTTGCAGAAGCAGTTAGATCCCTAGATTCCCCAGCTCCGTGAAAGTGGGAAACTGTTCCTCCCTCATACCAGGAGAAATCTGGGGGGACTTCAGTAACAGCTGTTTCCAGAATGCTAACCACTAGATGTCTGTCCTCCAGCAGAAGACTGGAAGGTCCTTTTTGGGGATCTTAAGTAGCCCTGAGGAACCTTGAGTCCACTATTCTGTGCTTCCTGGACTGCCAAGCCTTTCTAGGCTGACACCAAGGTTTAAATCAATACTACCTAAAATGGAAACGTAGTTTTTTAAAAATAATAATTATTTTAATTTCTTCATGTTTTTCATAATCATTTTCAACACTTAAGACAATATTTCCCTAAGAGCCTTGCAATGATGAAGAAATGATTTATCAAAAGTTCCACAATCCCTCAAGTTTGTCATCAGTTTCTATTTCTTCTATTAAATTCAAGTAAGATTAAATATAATATTTCTTACTATATAGTAGCACATGTAATATATGTCCATTAATCCATTCATTCCTCTATTTGCATCTTTATGGGTACAGATGGCTAGTGTGATATCATCTAACAGTTCATTTCTGAGTGATGGGATTAGGTGGCTTTAAAATGTTTTCTTTATACTTTGCTGCACTGTTTGGATTTATATCATACACATGCATCATTTTTATTTAAGAAGGAAGTACTGAGTGAAAGGCCTACTGAGGATCTTACACGTGCTCAGGACAATCCTTCAAACTTTCAGAGAGAAAATTCTGCTGGTCACCATCACCTACTGAGTCTCTATAAAATTCTTCCAAGCTAATATTAATACTGAGGAAAGTGAAGCACCAGAAATAGTATAGTTCCAATATTTACCAACTTTTAAAATAGTGATGAAAATATTCACAAAAGGGGTCTTTTCTTGACTGCGATGTGGTCTTTGTGAACTCAAGTGGACACAGTTCATTATAACGACCACAGAATATTTCCACTAGACAAGGCTTTATTTGGGTTTCAATATAACAATACTTCAAGGCATTAAAATTATCACTTTATGAATAGTCGATCTTCTATTCTACCTTTAATAAGGAACTACTCCTAAATGCCCCTAAATTAAAGACATTTGTCCAAGGAAAGGGGAAAAGATATAGCTCATCTAAGTAAAATGCGGATCTATGAATCAAAATTTAATAAATTTAATGCAAAAGTTATCTAATATATTAAAATCAGACACATACCAGCAGTGGTGCTTCCATTGACTTAATAAATTGATAAATGTTCAGTGTCGTCAGTGGCTGTTCCATTAGTGTTCTTCTACATTGCTGGGTCAAGTCCAAGACTGGTTTACAGTGAAAAAAGTAGAGATGTGCATATTCTACATCCTCTGTGCTGCAAATTAAAAATTAGGGAGAGAAGAGAGAGAGAGAGAGAGAGAGAGAGAGAGAGAGAGAGAGAGAGAGAGAGAGAGAGAGACCCACTTGAAGTTCAATGTGTGATCCTTCTACCAGCTAGAAAGACGACAAATCTCTTTGTCTTAGGTCTCCTTCTTTTGATTTGCTGTTTTAGTAAAAGCCTAAAAGTGTGTAACATTAAAATATAATGGACTGAGGCAAAAAAAAAAAAGAGGACATAGAATATTATAGAAAAATGATCCTTAATATTTTTAATAAACCACACGAGTTATACAAGTAATTTTTTTTCTGAATTCTTCCATATGGTAGCTTCTAAATTAGGTTATAGGCAGGTCTACATAATTTTTTTAAAAATAAAAGACTGTCACCTTGAGTACAATAAGATTATCTTCAAATATAGTTTTTCTAGAGCTATGCTAAATAAAGCTTTGTAACACAAATTTTCTAGGTTTAATTTAAACCCAAGTCTGTTTTGAATAAATTTCAGCCAAAACATGCCTTAAGATAGAAACCATGTGACACTTTGTGGGAGTTGGTGAATTTGTATCTGAAACATTACAAAACTAAGCAAATAAGGCTATAATTTGAGTTTCGGCATTCCCTTCAATATGAGAATTCAAAGATAAACTTACAGCGGGTAAGATTTGCCAAAATTAAAATAGCATTTAAAAATAATCTCCATATGGCATTAGGAGAGTTTGGCAAATACTGAAAATTTTTATTTTTAAAATGTTATTTTAATTCTTGATACATCTTAAACTCAGCTCCAACGTTCACTGATTTCAATTTAAATTATAAAGTAATTTCTAATTGATTCAATGATTAAAGATATGATCACTCAAAGATTTACTTAATACCTACTGTGTGGTAGGTAGGCCCTGTGCTAATAAAATACAAAAGACTAAGATAAATAAAATAATTCCAATCCATGAGGATCTTAAACTAAAGGAGATACAATTAGTAAAACAATTAAAATGTAGTTTATAGGTGCTATACTATACCAAGTGCTATGAGAAAGAAAGAAATATTTCATTCTGCCTCAAGCTGGGAGAAGAAAGAAAGGGTTTAGGAATATCATCTCAGAGATTAAAAACAGTAAGAGAGGGAAAGACTTCTCCAAGTAGATAGGACAAATAGGTGTTTCCAACAAAAGAAACAATATAGCTGAGGCACAAAGTACCTTAACATTTTGAGAGGAACCTGAAACAGTCACATTATAACAGAAAGGAAAGTGTTGAGAGCAGGAGGCCCAGCTGAGGCTGGAACTTGTACCATAAGCTCTGAAATAATAAAATAATGTTGGCAAGTTAATCAGAGATTATCTGGTTATAGATAACAGAAATCAAAAAAGGAGGGTGGGGGAAAAATACTTAACTGGAAGTTTAGAAGAGTATCATACAGAATACAAGGGAATTCACATGACTGGATCAGAGTAAACGTAGAGAACTGAACAGGAAGAGTTCAGAGACCTTCCTTTTGCCATTCACACTTTTCAGCTTCCAACAATCTGGAGAGACAACTCCCTCTGCTTTACTTCTACATGGGCAAAACATTCCTGTGAGCAAGAGAGCCACAACACTGTCTAAGCCAGTTTTCCTATGCCCAATTCTAAGTTCCTGAGAGAGGGGATCTCATTGCTCAAGTAAGGGAATGGCCCTAGGTCAGGGGGCCATCTCTGATTTAATTGACTGTGATATGTATGGGATGAGGGTAACACACTTCTTGGCCTATACACAGATTCTTTAAGAAGGAAATATGGGGAGGTAGCAGAAAGTACTGGTGTCTCTATGGCATGCTACCTCTTTTACTACCTGTCAATATACACCCTTCTTAACTGACATATAATTTCCAACACACTTAGGCCCACCGTTATATAACAATTAATATACAAGTCTCATCCAATGTTATAGCCCCAGCAACTGGAACAGTGCCTAGCACATAGAAGGCAGTCAATAAATATTGGTGAAATAAAAGAATGAACATGGGCCAGCTGAGTGGCTCAGTTTGTTAAGAGCTGGCTTAAGAGTGCAAGCTCTGAACAGCAGGGCCACTGGTTCGATTCCTAATGGGCCAGTAACGCTGTGCCCGAGCTGAGCTGTCGCTGAGCTGCCAACAGGTGGCAGGATGGCTCAGCTGGTGTAACAAGATTGCCTGTTCAATGGTGGGCTATGCCCATGCACAACTAAGATTGAACACAGCACCTTGAGCTTAGAGGCCACGAGCTGCCCATGGGAAGCCAGATGGTGACTGGCACCCTCCACAATTAAGACTGAAGAACAGCAACTTGGCTGGTCCCTTCCCTAATTCCCCAACACTGTTCCCCTCCCCCAATTCCCCAATAAAATCTTAAAAAGTGCATTCACCTCTCCCCCATTAGGAGACAGCCCAAAGTTATAGCCAACTACTTTATCCAGAAGTGATGTGATAGGACTGCTGTATTCTGAATCCACAATCCTTCCCTGTCACATCAGGTCCAGGTATGACTCTTCACCACTCACCATCTTGTTATCCATGAATAAATGAGAATTCAAATATCTCCAATATATCATATACTCAAAAGATTATGAAAAATGGGATAACTACATTTTTTAATTCCCATTTTAAAAATGGAGGGAAGTAAAAACGCTTCCAGAATACTACTGTGTTTAGTCATAGGTTAGAATATGTATATTTTATATTTATATTTTGCTCAACAGGATGTTAAGGTAAATGACAGGACCCAGATATACCCTGCCAATAAATAACCAACCATTGTGTTTTAAGCATGTCACTGTTATTTGCAATCATTCATTACCTGAAAAATAAAGAAGCTGGTAACACAACAGAAAGTACAAACAACTAACCTTCAGAGAAACTGTGAGGCCACAAGAGAATCACCATGGAATGAAGAATAGCAAGGTTCTCCCCATTCCAAGATGGGAAGTTGGGAGTAACAAAGTAGCTGGCCAAAGGACTGCTTATTTTATCTGGGGACTCAGTGACTACTTATAATAAAGCTTTATGGTATTATCAGCATAACTCTCAAATTGTTCAAAACATTAATTCTTATACAAATAGTAAACACGCATCAAAGTTTTATTCAACTCATTAATGAGGGACCCAGCAGAGTGACAGTTCAATAAGAGACTGATGGAAAAGGAATGGCGGTTGTCATACAGAGCAATAAAAACATAACTTCTCTAGGAACTTTGTTTTCTGCCTACCCATTTCCGGCCCCCCCCCCACTCCCAAAAAAGTCATTTCACTTTACCAGCTTTTTATGCACTAACCTCTAAATTTACAGAGTTGTAAAATGTCTGGGATTAAATTAATTGTGTGTGGTACATCAAATAGTCATTATTTTCCGAGAGGTCAGCAAGAGGACTCATTAAAAACTCCTGGATGGTATAAAAAGGTCAACACGATCACCATTTTGCCTTGCTTTAAATTAATTTCCCTGAAGGGCATTTTAAAGCCAATCTTAAATTCTTTAAAATGTACTATTTATTCCTTGTGTCCCTAAGTACGAAAGTGACCCAAAAAACCCAAAAACATTTATCCGTAAAGATATATGTTCATTGCAGCTTTATTTACAGTAGCCAAGACATGGAAACAACCAAAGTGTCCTTCAATGGATGATTGGATAAAGAAGATGTGGTATATATACACAATAGAATACTATTATGCCATAAGAAGAGATGAAATAGTGCCATTTGCGACAACATGGATGGATCTTGAGATTATTATGCTAAGCAAAATAAGTCACACAGAAAAAGTCGAGAACCATATGATTTCACTAATATGTGGGATATAAAACTGAGAACAAAGGAACAAGACAAACAAATGAAGAAACAAAAACTCATAGAAACAGATAACAGTTTAGTGGTTACCAGAGGGTAAGGGGGGGAGAGGGTGGTAGATGAGGGTGAATAGGATCAAATATATGGTGATGGAAGGAGAACTGACTCTGGGTGGTGAGCACACAATGTGATATATAGATGATGTATTACAGAACTGTACATCTGAAACCTATGTAGCTTTACTAACCATTGTCACCTCAATAAACTTCAATAAAAAATAAATAAAAATAATAAAAAGAAGAAAAAACTTTAACCCTAGGCTTCCCAGACAACAGTCAAAAGAAAGCCTCTACCTAAAATTGTAAGCTAGAAAGTAGGCCAAAAACAATAAATAAACACCTAAAATATTCTGTTCAAAAACTGTACTTACATATATTTAAGATTATTATGACAAAGTAACTTACAGAACTCTCAGAAAGAATTTCTGGAGCTTAATTATGAAAGCTATTATTTTATCACCTATCTCATCACTGCAGAAGATCTATTCCTAAAATACCCTTGGCCACTCATAATATCACATCCTATGGCTTATCCATTTATCTTCATTCATCTTAATCTAACATCACTTATGCATATTTAAATTCATTTGCAGATTGTAGTACAGATGACAGTACTGAAGGGGATTTCAGGTTTCATTTATATGTTCACATCTGCTTACGATTCCTCTTAGACAAGTCCACATGTCGAGAGTATAATGGAAATATTGAATAAGTAATGTGAAATAAGTGAACTTAAAATTGTTGACTTATGCCTCTTATACATACCCAATACTTCCCAGAAGGGCAGTTTCTGTGGTTAAGACAAATTGGTATGTGGTCCCATATACAAAAGCAGATTCCATGACTGCCCTGTGCTCTGAAGAAGAGATAAGGGAGTTGGGAGAGAGGAGTTAGTTTGTGCGACTCTACATTAACTTCTATTCTGAATACTGCCTACACCATTTTATGCTCATTATTCTTAAAGAAAAATCTTTTGTAGGGATCCCAGTTAGGAAAATGCAGGCAGCTAAAGAGTTATGAAAAGTCTATTCTGTTCAAGGTAAAAGAATTGAGGGAGTAGAAAATGAGTTATACTTGAGAATATAACATACAAAAAATCTGATACTTTCTTCCTAATAGTAAGGTAAAGAATATGAATCCACCATACAACTTTTGTATGTTATATTATATATATATGATATATGTCTTATATTGTTTCTGGCTTAATTATTTTTTTAACCAAACTTATTGTTCAATACAGTTTAAAGAGATAAATCATTCTACAAGGCATATTAGGAAAAACAAGTTTCTCTACTGTCCACTCCATTTCCAATTTTCAAGGGATAACCACTTTCATTCAACTCTTTTACTGTTTCTTTGGAGGGCATTTACCTCCAACTCTCTACATGATGTTCTTATATCCTTATTTTTTAATTTTGTTAAGTGTTAATGCTATCTATTGACTTCTCACTATGGAAGATGATAAATTAGCTCTTTTCCAAAACCCCATTCCACAAAAGTACACATTTCTATCCCCTCTATTCTTTCCCAATATAGTCCTAATTTTTAGTAGATCCTTAGTCAGTATTTACATTGTAATGACCCAGTAAATACTATTTACAAATGAGCCATACAGTACAAAATGAACACTTGCTTTTTTTAAACTTTTGTCACTATAGTTATACATTTTTTTAATTTTTGTGTAGATTTCTTCCTAATTTATTCCTAAGTTCTTCCACAGTTGTCTAACCCTCTTAATACTTCAAATACATCAGGTATCCTATCAACTCCTTCTTCTTGGAGACATTGCTGTAGACATGTCCAACATGGACTATTACTGCTTGACCTGCTTCACAACTTGCATCCTGAGAACTTACTTCGCCATCATCTTTGGGATCTCTTATTCTCTCTTATGTTGGGTCCTCTGTCCTGTTACCCATATTTTCTTGATTGATTTGCCCCTTTGCTCTCATTCTCTAGCATCTTCCTAGGAGAGTACACACGGAACACACATTTTTGCGACCTCCTACTTCTCTGACAGTGTCTTTATTCTACTTTCATAACTATAGTTGCCTGAGTACTGAATTCAAGGTTCAAGTCATTTCTCTTGAGAATTTAGAAAACATTGCTCCATTTTCTTCAGTTTCTGTGCTATAATTGAGAAGTCCAATGCCAGTGTGATTCTTGATCCTTTAACTGCAAACTCATGTTTTCCTTCTGGAAGATTTTAGAATAATATTTGTTCCTGATATTCTGAAATTTCAAAATGAGATGATTTGGTGTGGCTCTACACTCCTCCACCATGCTGGGACTCATTGGGCCCTGTCCAATTTAGAAGCTCAAATTCTTCACTTCTGGGAAATTTTCTTAAAGTGCTTCTTTGAAGATTCCCTCCTTTTCATGATTTATTTTCCCTTTTCTCCACATTGTCATTTCCTGGCAGTTAGTTATCTTCCTCTCCCCTACCTAACCTTCCAGCACTTAGATTACATATCATCAGATTATTCCACTCACCACTCTGCCTTACTGAAGTCATTCACCACCCCAACCAGTGTCACCTCCCCTCATTACACAAAGATTTTAGCTTCTGTCACACTGCCACTTTCTCCAATACCACTCCTGTCATAATCCTTGGTGATTTCATTATTCCCATAGACCATCCTTTCAAAATCCTATCTTTTTGGTCCTGGGCCTTCTTTATAGATGCCAGTGATCCTTCTTCAACCCTACCTTAACCACTCATTGGTATGGTCCACTGCAGGCCTTGTAATTACCAATTACTGCAAACTCCTCCATAAATTCAATGTCCAGCATCACCCCCCCACCAACCCCCTTCCCACACACACAAACACAACCATCCAACTAGATCACTTTGTCTAGTTCATAATTCTAACCCTCCAGGACCTGCAATCCTACCATTTTTCACTGTCAGTCACCCCCCTCAGATCCTCTCTTCCCTCTTAAGCCAGCTTCAATTCCATGGTCCATCTTTATAATTACTCCCCTGCCCATCTGGCTAAAAACAAAATCCGGGTTAAATCAAATACTCTGCCTATAGAAGTAAACATGGCTAGAGGATAAAGAAAACAAAAACCTGCTAACATCTCTGTACCAATGGTCTCACTTTACACTACTGACATCAACTATTATTGCTGTCTAGGAACCATTCTTTATTTCCAGGCCTCTTAAACAACTACTCATCTCTTCTCTCCTTAAACTGTCTCATGCCTTTATTCCTATTTCATTGAGAAAATATAACCCTTTATAAAAAAATCCACAAATTCCCAGTATTGTATCCACCCACTGACCTAAATTAATGCCCATATCTCTCTCTTTCCTCCTGTTATCACAGATGGACTTTCTGTGTTCCCAGAAAAGAACCACCGCCCCCCTCCCCCCATCTACTCAAAGATGTTGCTCCAGTAATTTTCATCTCTTTTTCATACATAATGCATTTTCCCCTTTCTATTGGATCTTTCTCATCAACATACAAATATGCTTCTTAAAAAATTCTTCACCAACCCATTTTTCTCTTTCCCTTAATAGCAAAACATCTCAAATGAGTCTCTATATTCAGTCTCCAGCTGCTTTCTACCCATTTCCTCTTATACACCTCTCAGGCATTTACCCCTGCCACTCTATAGAAACTGCACTTGTCAACTTCACCAATAACTCCACATTGCTAAGCATAATGGCAGTTCTTATTTTAATTTAATTAGCCTTTCAGCATCATTTGACACAATTCTTCCTATCTCTTCCTTAAAACCCTGTCTTCACTTTGCTTGCAGGATACTCCTACCACACAGGCTATTCCTCCTCTGTCCCCTTTCCTGGTTCCTCCTTACCTCACTGACCTGTAAATGTTGAAGTATCGAATGAGTTCAGTCTTCTCCTTCCCATTCATTTAGCCTCACTCCCTCCAGGATCTCTTCTGATCTCACAGCTTTATCTCACAAATGTATATATCTCTAGTCTGTATCCCTACCATAAAACACAGACTAGTAATATCCAGCTACCTTGCTGATATCTCTAACTTGGATGTCTAGTGGATATTTCACAAGTACGATGTCCAAAAGTGAATTCCAGAGTTTCCTCTGCAAACTGTATTATTTCCAGTCTTCCCTATCTTAGTTACCAGCAATTTCAGCTTTCAAGTAGTTCAGGGCAAAACCCCAGACTCATCCTTGTCTCTATTTCTTTCTCACTCTATATCCAATATGTTAGCAAATTCAGTTAGTTCTACATCCAAAATACTGCTAAAATTAAAATGTATTGCCACCTCTATTGCCTAAACCCTGGCCCATGCCTCCAAGCATCACTCATGCCTGCCTTACTGCAATAACTTCCTAATTTTCTCCCTTATTCCACCATTGCTCCTTCCAGTCTATTCCAAACAGAGAAGTCAGGTTGATCCTGTTAATAAAAGCCAGGGAATTCTGGTTCCATTATGGCAGTGTAAGCCCTCTATAGCTCATCTCTCTCACTGCTTATAATTACAAACTCTGGACAAAATACAATAACCTGAGGTTCCTGAAAAGTAAACAAAAACAGGTTGATTATGGAGTTATTATTTTACAAGTGTATTAAGTTCAGTGGCATGCAATGTAGCTATCAAGCTTTATGTTTATAAAAATTGGTATTTCCAATAAATGATGTTCTTTCATAGAGCATATACAATTTTTAAAATGTCTTTAACAATATTTTATATTAGCATGGCCAACTTATAACCATTAACAAGTAAAAGTTGTGAAAGCATAATTATAGTTTATTCATAAAGTGTTTACAGACTTCTTTACGACAAAATTAGATATCAACATTCAAGGTGATGCTGTCAAAGTCAGATTTTTGAAAAATGAATACAAATGTCATAAACAGCAAATACCAAAATATTTAAAAAGAAAGTCACTGAGTCAACAACATTTACTACATACTATAAACTACTAAACCATGTATCATGAGGAAATAAAAACTGTTATAGCTAACACTTACAGAGCACTACTATACGCCAGAAACCATTTTAATTACTCAACTCACTTGGTCCTCACAGTAACATTAAGAGGTAGGCACAATTATTTTCACCATCTTAGTGACTGCGAAACAGGCTAAGAAAGTTGTCCAAGGTCATACTATAAGTAACTGAAGGAGCAGGGAGTCAATCTAACCCAGGCAGAGTCAATAGCTCCAGAGTTCTTGTTCAACCTCTATACTATGCTGCCCGTTTAAAAACAAAACATAATAGTAAAGATGCTTTAAATTTATTTTAAAATATTAAGTGAACAAAATACACTCTTTTGTTTTTCAACGTACTCACACAAACACAAATACAAAAATGCACAGCAGAGATTAAAGTTAATAAATACCTGGTGTTCCAATGGCTCTGACATACGCAAATGCAATGTTTGCTTTTCCTTTCAGAGCGTTTTCTATATTCTGAAGGCCTTCCAGGGTGGTAACATATTTGACTTCATTAAAAAGAAGAGCACTAAAATAAACAGAGATGTAATTAGTAGGGAAAAATCTGATATAAAGTTAGTTATTTAATATATTTTTGTTGAGTAAACAACCTAATAAAAAAATTTAGTAAGAACCTAAGCATTTTAATGCTAAATTAAAATAACTCTCTAAATCATTAGTCTGTCCCTAAGAACATCATCCAGGGATAGTTTTGAGAAATGGTGCCTGTTCTCCATCACAACCACCTCAATATAAACTGTAGTTGCCAACATCCTAGTCTAGCCAAATAATCCCTTACAGATCTCTCAGCTTGAACACATGAGCCCTTCGCACATCTGAACTGTAGGCCTCTTACATTTGCCTGTAAGTCCCTGCATGACCTAAACCTTGCCTACTTCTCCAACTTCATTTTGTTTTACCATTCCTCATGTCTACCACACTTGAGGCACACCTCAGGGCCTTTGCACATACAATTCTTTTTGCTGAAAGCTATTCCTTCTCATACATCTGGTCTCAGAGAAGTCTTCCCTGTTGGTCCTAGGAGTATGTAAGTAGATAAGTAGATCTGTAGCATTTTCCTCTTTCATTTTATACTATTTGATTCCTTCATAGTACTTATCACAATTTATAAATGCTTACATATTTACTTGTCTATCCCTGCCTCTCTCATTAAACTGCTACTTTCGTGTGAGGCAGGGACCTTGCATATTTTTATGACTATATCCATAATGACTTAGAACAGAGCCTGTACACTGTAAGTAATCAATACATAGTTGTTGAATGAGTAAAAGAAAAAGTAGGGTAGGAATTATTTATTCCCATTATTCCTATGAAGAAATGCAAGTTAAAAACACCGAAAAGCTTACTTAACTCAAAAACACATTTATTGAATCAAGGAGCCAGGAAGAGAACAACCACAAAACCAGTCTTTTTACTTCCAGTTCAGTGATCTTTCAACTTGACTGTAATTCTTCCAAATCATCTTTTCAATGTGTAAATCAGGCTAAAGGATCAAATTTCTTTACCCAAAAGAATCTTTATTTTCTACTTCTATATAAATTCTCTATTTCTGACAACTCATTTCACTGTGTGTGTGTGTGTGTGTGTGTGTGTGTGTGTGTGTGTGTGTGTGTTGGGCAAACTTTAAGGATTCTTGAATGTTGTTTCAAGTCCACATGCTTAAATAAACAAAGGTTCACTCAATTATCTCCAACAAGTCAGTCAAGCATGGTTTCCTCTTATGGAAAACCAGGCTCTTCCCTCTAATACCACAGTTCTTAAAACTATGGTCTCAAGATATCTTTATGGCCTTAAAAATGATTGAGCTCCTCAAAAAGCTTTTGTTTATGTAGGTTACATCTACCAATACTTTCCAAAATACAAATTAAAACAGCATTTTAAAATATGTATTCTTTTTAAAATAATAAACGCCATAGTATGTTAATATAAACAACTTTTTATTAAAAAAACAAAACAAAAAAAACCCTAAATTTTCCAGAAGAAAAACTTAGCGAAGAGTGGCAAATTGTTTTACATTTTTGCAAATCTCCTTAATATTGGACTAAATAAAAGACAGCTGGATTCTCATATCTGCTTCTGCATTCAATCTGTTGTGACATCACATATCACATCACGTACGTAGTCTCTGGAAACTGCACTCATGAGAGAATGAAAGTGAAAAAGGCAAATAATGTCTTAGTATTATTACAAAAGTATTGTGATTTCATGGACACCCTGGAACCGCTGACCTAAATTACACTGGCTTAAATATTGACTTATTTATTACGGATTTCTTCAACTTTTTAAAAAGAAATGTAAAACTTGATCTTCTACAATCCCAGGGCTCTTGTTTTATTTTTTAAAAGAAATATGTACACAGCAACACTCACTATGTGCTATGTATTTTCACTTAAATCCTCAACGATAATCTTTGAATAATCTTTATTCAAAACACACATATATTCATACACTTAACAGTCTGAGGGATTAAGTAACCCGCTCCACGTCATACTGGTAGAGCTGAGATTCAAATCCAGGCTTTCTGACACTAAGGCCAGGACTTTTAAACTCCATTATTACTGACCACTCTTGTAAATGGGAAACCAGGTAGAAAGGGAGGTAGCTAATAAAAGGTAAGGGAGTCTCAGTAGCAATGTGGGCTATTGGTTGCTTATACATGTTGGCTCATAAGTCCAGAATTACCTTGAGTTGGGTAAACAGGTGGGAGGTGCCATCTAGTAAACTTAATTGGACTTCCATGTAAATTCTAGCCTTAGAAATTACCTCCACCTATTTACCTAATAAGATTCTAGCAGCTCGAATCTATGTACTTCGAAAATCAAATCTGGAAGAAGGAATTTCCCTAACCTTTTTTTCTCAAATAAAGACTGGCGAATATAAATTTAAAAAGCCAACATCGGGCCGGCCAAGTGGCGCGATGGTTAAAAACTGGCTTGGGACGCCAGAGGGCCCCGGTTCGGATCCCACATATAAGGGCCAGTGACACTGCCCTCTACAGCTAAGATGCTGAACAACAGCTCAACCTGGAGCTGGGCTGCTGTGAGTCGCCAGCGACGGCATAGGCTGCAGCCCCTGTGGCAGTGGGTTGCCATGGGCTACCGTATGTAGCCAGAAGCCAGCGTGAG